TACGAAAAGGCTCGTTATCACAACAGACAAAGAACGCGCTTATGGGAACAGAAACTAGCAGGTATTCGTTCACATTTGGGTGTCAAATATTCGGTGAATGCTGTTGGAAGTGCAGTGGCAAGGGAGCATCCTGAAAACAAGCATTAATTATTTCAATTTCTAAAAAACCCTACTTGATTTAGAATCTCCTATAGGATTGCAATCAACTTAGTGCGTTGGAATGAAATGATATCAATAATTCTATCACAAATTAAACTCTAACATACTACTAGAAATCTTACATATGTTGCTAAAAAATAAGAATTAAAATTAATCCAAATCTTCCTTCTATACTGTCAATGTCGGATTTTTGACAAATCTTCTACAGTCACTTCTCATCTGCATTTTACCACAAATAATTCTCTGGAATTTTTTCGTGCTGTTTGCAGAAGCATGGTTTTGTTCTAAGGTTTTTTTGCAATCAATTTATAACGGGTCAATTGCATCTGTTATCTAAAAAACAGATAATTTCAGCCACACCATTGTGCAGCCAGTGATTTTAGTTGTACCAACAGAAAATATTGCATCTACCGTGGAAGCTATCAAGAGGTGAGACAAATTTGCTCGTAAAATTATCGAAAATAAAATGTAGTCTTTCAATTTTGGTATTTATACCTTTGAGGTGTTAATGAATAGTAAGACTAATTTCTTTTCTTTTATAATCGTCTTCTAGAGCGTTTCGTTCCACTACAGAAGCGGCAGTGCAAGTTCACCCCTTCGACTTTGCACCAGCGATTGAAAAGGCTACTGTAGCTGTGGGAATGGTAATTTGATCAATTATCGATCGAAAAATCAAGAAAAATTTTATGAGTATTTTCTTCTAGGATCAACCATCATGCTTTGATTTTTGTGGTCAAGCCAACTCCATCAATGCACCGTTCTTCTATCAGACAGGTACAACCAACACTGGTACCGCAAACGCTTCGTCCAGCACGGAACAACCCATGTTAGATTTTGCGCAAAGTTCTACATTCTGCTATGATGCGCAGCAAACACCGGAACAGGTAGTAAGGCAACGTCAGATAGTTACCTCGTGTTAACTCTATAATTTCTCATTTAGGAGATACGTTATGTGTACAGCAATGAACTCGTCCCAGTGGTGCAAGTACGTAATCGCACAACGAG